GTCCAAAGGAAATGTTCCACTTAAACTTTTCTTTCTTGGTAGTAGAAAGTCCTTTTCTCTGTTCACTTGTTAAATCTCTCTTGTACCTCAAAAGAGACGGGCTCAAAATGCAATTTAACTCTGCAGACTGTATCCTGTCTCATTAACATAACTGCTTCTAGTCGTGCTCCCTTTTTATCATAGAGCTTAGGATTTATCACACACAGAAAGTTATATCCAATTACAGAATGGAAAACAATGATATAATCCTGAGAATCATGACCAAGCCAAGTTGATACATATTTTGAGGAGACAAAATTCAATATGTGACAACACAAAAGTACAGTAATAATAATAATAATAATAATAATGCTCTGATGTACATTGCAAAGTAGAACTCATTTGTTATTATGAACTGCTGTGTATACTTCAAAATTTTAGTATGAGACTTTACTGGAGTTAGTTCATAACTATGAATTTTATGTAAATTGATCATTTGTAACTTGGGACTAGCTTTATGAAATCATTTTCCTGAAATCTAATCATCCATAATTAACATAAATAATGTAGATTGGCCCCATCAGAGTGACAACTTTTCACTATCACCTCCTGGGACAGAGGCTTGTTTCGTACTGTCTCCTAGTGGGATTCAGTGCTTGATACTGCATTTCTTGGCATATAATTTTTTGTTAGCAAGCTGACATCTTTTCTTCATGAGATATGACCAACAGAGGAAAGCATTGCTGACATTAGACTCTGTTTTGCTGATTTTACACAAACTGCAAGATTTCAAATATGGCACTGTGCCAGAAATATATGCTATTTTTTTGACAGTGCAAAGTAATATAACAAAATGTCACATTTAGTATGAGTTGTCATCTTATTTATCAGCTCACACCTTCATCACTATGACAGCAACTTTTCGGGTGCTCTTTTAATCTAGCACTCCTCACGGCCAATGACTGTATGTATATATGTAACATAAAGTGTCTGCCTCTGTTGCCTTTAACTCTTGCTAATCTCCCAGTTTCCTCCCCTTCCAGAATATTTTCTAATCATTTAAAGTAAAATATCCCTATTTAATTTTGCATTCCTTTGTTTTAAATTCATGCATTCATTTTTGTCAATGTTTCTTCTTTTTGATGCTCAGTTCTCTTTGTCTTGTAGACGATTTTCCTTCCCTTTCCCCTCTTTCCCTAGATTTGTTACCCAGAAGTCATTTAGTTTTTGGCATTTCTCTGAATGCTTTGGCATTTCCATAATATATGGGTATGTTTGTATTTCTAGATTTGCCATCTTAGACATGGTATAGGATTAAAAAGAAACAGTTTGGTTGACATATAATTTATATATCATTTATTTAAATAATTTAATTATATTCAAAAGAGTTGTGTAATCATCACTGCAGTCAATTTTGTCTTCCTTGTACTCATTGCTATTAGCTCCCTATTTCCCAGCAACCTCCCCTGCTATGATGACAGGAAACTCTTAATCCCATTGCTTTCTCTATAGGTTTGCCTATCCTGGATTTCATATACAGAAAAACGTGAAATTTAAAACAAGAAACAGAAAAAAACCCAGCCCAACAGCAAGGACAGAACATCATAGAAAAACCTCAATAGAAAAGAAATCAGAAAATACTGAAAACTGCAATAAATGTATATTGGATCAAATGACGAGTTGTCACATTTTAGCTTAACTACAACTGCAGTAGTAGTGTGCTCTCTCCGATAACAGGCTATTTTCATCCCTGCTCTGTAATCAGAGGGAATTAATCAGAGGCTTAATCCACATAGGAGATCCTGCAAATGGATTTTGGGCTTTCAATGTAATGAATAGTCTTCTGCAAACTGTGTTCAAAATGTATGCTCTAATACCGTGACCTCTTTTGGAATTGTATTTTATTCTTTACACTCCAAGATCACACAAGCTGGTGGGCTTCTTCTGTGTAGATGTAACTGCCACCTCCCTTAGGTAGTTACTTGTTTTCAAACAAGCCTTGAAGACCCTAGACTCCATTCTTTCTGGTAGCCAGGTATCATCTGTTTTCTTCATCATACTTTGGTATGTCACCTATATCTTCAGTGATCTCTTGATGAGGGCAAGCATCGATCAAAGTCATATCATAAGAACTAACTGACCTTAGATTCAGGCTATGACTAAGTGAGAGGTCAAAATGTGTAGGACTTCTTGATATGATGTCCAAGGATTTAGCTTTCTTCCATAGATTGTCTAGTTTCTTGTTTCTTCGCTCGACAACTACAGCAATACGGGAATTTTAATTCTTTACTTGCACTTTAAGTTTTGTTGGGGTGGTAAACATATATGATGTCTTTGAAATACTTGTTTTGTGCCACTTTTCTTTAGAGGCCGATTCCCCACTTTCATGTAATTTTCATTCTCAACAATGACAGATATGGCAAAGGCTGACTATTATCCCCAATACCCATCCCTCCTTCTTCCTTAAGTAATGTTATAGAGTTAATTATTGACTTACAGTAGTTTGAAGAAACAGAGTAGATCTCCTAATAAAGTTTCTTAGGCTGTAATACTTATGACTGCTTAAGTAATAGAATTTTTATTATAGCTGAACTCATGGTTATTCAAAACAGAAGCTACCTCTTACAGTATTTCTATGACTTGGTGTATTCCGTGCCTGAAAAAATTAGATGTAAGAAGTGTTAAGTGTAACTTCCAGGAAATCTTCCATGTTTTTTCTATGTTCTTCCTTACTGATACCTGGAATATAGTCTTATGGCCAGAACTTCATATCCATTCAGAGTCCTGAGGTGGAAGGCTTATCCTGATTAAAGCCTGGTTCACTTAAAAGGTAGACTGATAGACCCAGTCTGGTTATTGATAGATTCTGTTCATATGAAAGGAAAACAAATTTCTATTGTGTTGAAACAATTTTGTTTTACTTCTTGTAGCTAAATCCAATCTAATGTCTACAATTATAGGAATTTTTTTCTATAACTAAAATTGGGTTCTAGAATCCGTTTACACATTTGTTCAAGAAGTTGAAAACCATATACAGCATTCACATGATTATACCTGCATAAATATTGTCCATTTCAAAGTCAAGAAGTTCTGATTTTTTGGTGTGCAGGTTTCTATAAAATCACCTCTCTGTCTCCGTGTGTGTGTGTGTGTGTGTGTGTGTGTGTGTGTATTTAAATTCCCCCAAATGATATCAATTTTTGTTTGATCTTCCTTTCTTTCCTGCCTTCTGGAGATGTTCTCCCCAGAACCCTGCATCTTGCTAAAGATTAGATTTCATGCCGTCTAAACTTGCTGAAAACTGTGATATTGAGATTTTAGGAAAAATGTATTGAAAGGCCAAATATGACAATCAGGTCTGCCACTTTTCATCTAATTGGTTGGCTGTGAGGAAGCAGTTGGTAAATGGGAGTTAGATTGCTTATATGTTGTCTTCAATCCATCACTAATAGGTCGCTTGATTTTAAGCAAGTACTCACTTTCTTAGCCTCATCTGAAAAACGGGGACAATGCTGTCATCTATTTGGCAGGTTTGTTTTATATTCTGATAAGTTACTGCAGGCTTAGTGTTTAGCACAGCGATGGCACGTAAAACAAACCAAACTCACTGCTGGCAAGTCCATGCCAACTCACAGCAGCCCTGTGGAACAGAACAGAACTGTCCTGGTACATTTCTGGCACTGTCATTTTTTACGGGAGTAGAAAGCCTCATCTTTTTCCCATGGTGGCACATAGACAACATTAAATTAATGTTACTTATAGCTTACACTAAGGAGGCCTGATGGCGTAGTCATTTACAACATGGGCTGCTATCTGCAAGGTCAGCAGTTTGAACCGACCCGCTGCTCGGTGGAGAAGCACGCGGCTTTCTGCTCTGGTACGTGATGGCAGTGAGTTTGCCTATAACCCACAATATTACCAGTAGTATTAAATAGTCACTTCCTCAAGAGCCTGAATTTAAACCCAACTTGACTCTGGAGCCTGAGCTTTTAACAATCATGTTATTTTGTTCTGTGTAGAATGCATGTTTTCAATGATTTTTATTGGTGAACAAACTGCCAACTCCTACTAGTGGCTTGCAATTGGATATGGGTGTAGTGTATGAGAAATGGGGGCTTGATGTGAGATGTGGAGCATAATATCCTAATCACTTGGAAGGACTCTACACATGCCTGGGTCTCCTGCAGAGAAAGATTGAGAAGCCCTTGATGGTGGACTGTGACAGGGAAGTATATTTTGAACGAGCTCCCCTGGGGACCCTCAGGCTCCTCTGGTTGAGAAAACTGATTTGGAAGAAATTGTTAAATTTTGCTGAAGCAGAAAGAATCACTAACAGAAATCCTAGGAAGTCATTCAACAAAGAAGTCAAATGAAAAGGAAAAAATAAAAAATGTTCCTAGATTCACTATGCCCCGTGGAACCATTCATCACTTTCAACATATGTGTGTACAAATATATATATGCTTATCTTTTCACTACTGTAACTCATACATCAACATGCAACGCACACTCTAGCAGCTGCATCAGCTTTTAAAAAATTCATCTAATGGTATTCGGTTAATTTCTCCCTTTGATAACAACTGCAGTACTCCTAAAGTTCCAAATATCTCTGTAATCCTCACAATGCCTACTGCCATCAATTACCTTCAAAGCCAGCATTGCCTAACAAGATTGGTAAGGCTTTTATGTTACTGTAGATAGGCATTATAACATTGTTCTCTGATCTTAAACCAAAATTGCTAATTCAGTACCATGATTTGAATATATACATTTTGAACAAAAGTATTTTTATTGTAATAATAGCATTAAAATAAAGTGATATATATCATCATAATAACAAATCATTAAATATGTATTCTTATGGGCTGAATGATGGCTCCCCAAAAGGTATGTGGAAATCCTAATCCCTTGTGCAGGTGAATGACTTACTTGAAAACAGTCATTGCAGATGTAATTATCGATATTAACCTAAGGGGCCTTAATCTAATATCACTGGTGTCCTTATTAAAAAAGGAGACACAATGGAGGAGCGTGGCGGTGCCCAGCCGGCCGCGGGCTACAGCTGCCTGGGCCCGGGTGCTGGACGCGGCAGCGGCAACTTGTGGGCGCCGGAGGACGCCTGGATGTGCAGCCACCCTAAGTATTTAGAGATGATGGAATTAGACATAGGAGAGGGTACAGCCCATGTTTACATAACATTCTTGGTTTACCTGGATCTCATGGAGAGTAAGAGTTGGCATGAAGTCAACTGTGTGGGCTTACCAGCACTCCAACTCATCTGCCTCGTTGGCACTGAGATAGAAGGAGAAGGGTCACAGACTATAGTGCCTACACCCATCAGTGCCTCCCTCAGCCACAAGAGGATAAGGGAGCTCATAACGGCATCTCGAAAATTGCAAAGTGACCCGGATTTGCCGATGTCGTTTACTTTGGCCATAGTGGAGTCTGATTCCACAATAGTCTACTCCAAGCTCACTGATGGCTTTATGCTGCCAGACCCAAAGAATATTTCACTTAGAAGATGACAGCCGTATTTCCTGATGCTTGCTCTGTTCATACAAGACTGGATTTGAGATGTACCAGCTTCATCTCAGAAAGGGACTTGATTTAACTGTTTTTTTCCCCAGAGGTTTTCTTCCTGAAGAATAAGCATTTCCAGATAGAAAATAAGACAATTGCTTTATAATGTTCTTATCTGGAGAGAGTTTAATTACAGCATAATTACAGATGTAGACAGACATATGCCAAAGATGTCTTGAGAATACTCAACACTGCTTCTTTCTTGATTGGTAACACTGTTGTTGGCTTCTTATTGAGTCAGCCATCTCTTTCCTTTACTCGTCTCCCCCACATCCTGTTAACCGCTAAAACTAGCCTGAAGTGGCATTTCGCATACACTTTGCCCCTTGGAGAGTTTTAATGAATAAAGCTCTCCAGTAGCAGATAAAGATTAATTAAAGGACACTTCTTAAATAAAAAAAAATAAAAGGAGACACACATGGGGAAGATGATCATGTGAAGATTCAGAAACTAGAGTTATACTTCCATAAACCAAGGACTATCTAGTATTAAAAGAGGCTACAAGAGGCCGACTTAGGAAGGCCATGACATGGCTGATATTGTCCGCCCTAAGAAATGAATATATTTACTAAATAGAAAACATCTGGGTTTATGTGTATTATATATATGAATTTATTCAACTTTTATAAAAACCATGGGCTGATATTTCAGATTTGGAAATGAAGGCCCAGAGAAGGCAACAAACCCAAGTTTACACTTAAGGTATGCAAGGGGGCTGGAATTTGAAGATAGGTGTATCTGATTCCAGAACATTGAGGGCCATCACATTGCCTTTTCTCAAGATGAGAAAAACAGAGAAAAAGAAGTCGGTGACAAATATACAGATGATGAGCATAAAATAAGTTAAACATTCTTTCCAACATTGTTTTTCAATATACTTTGTCTTTCACTATCTAAATTTCAGTTCACCAATTGAACTTTTTCATACAGGAGACCACTGTTCTCTACCCAGAAACATGATAATCTCATTCTCCCCGATGTTTTCTTTCCCTCACATAGTATAAGACAATGTAATAGTTAATCTACATACACATACAGATGTTTGTGTTCTCTTAAGCTGACCCAGTGAATCTCAATTTTTAGCTTGCATCAGAGTCAGCTAATGGGATTGTTAAAACTTAACACCCAGACTTTCTGATTTAGTGATGCCATCTGGTGTGGAGAATGAGATTTTGCACTTCTAGCAAGTTTCCAGGTAATACTAATCAGTCCAGGACTACACTTTTAGAGCCTTCAAGGTAAAATCCAAGAAGTGAGTGGATAAAATAACATATTGGTATATCCTTTCTAAGGAGTAGGATAGTGAGAGTTATGCCAGCTAATCACAGTATATATACACCTGCATTTTTTGAGCCTATCCACATGGTAATTTTTCTGGATGTGATTTGGCTAAATTTTGGACTTTATTGCCTATTTCTTTCTTCTTACCTAGATTCTCAGTTTTCGTAATGATATGGTATGTCCATTGTCTTCCCTGGTCCCCTTATCTTAACTAGGTAAGTTTGTATAATGGACAAATTCAATGGACATGGAGCAATGTGTCTTGGCTTCACCAGTTATAAGAATTCAGAGCAAGATTTCTGAGAAGATGCTACATGGTCGAAACCTGGCTCTGGTCAGAAATGTTGAGAAGCTATAAGGTTTGAAATGACTGGATACACAACCTTTGCTTCTCTCTGAGACTCCACTACCATTATAGGAAAGTATAAAAAGTCACAACAAAGAAATAGAAGCGCTACCTCAAAACTCAATGCCATTGAGTCAATGCCAACTCATAGTGACCCTATGGGACAGAGTAGAAGTGCTCATGTGAGTCTCCAAGACTATAATTCCGTTGGGTTAGAAAGCCTTATCTTTCTCCCAAGGAATGGAAGAGGGGGAGAAATTAATTATAAATCAATTCAATGTAAATTGGCTGACAGTTGCCTGATGAGCAAGGATGAGGAAGCCCCCATCCAGACAATAGGGAGAAGGGTGGCAGTCAAGGAGGGAAATGATTTATTCCTATCAGAGAGGCCGAATACCTAGAAGTGTCAAGTTCAATGTAGTGTGGGAATGTGATATGGGGCTTAAAACAAGAGAACTGACAATCTATAGATGGAAAAGGCTCTTCTCCAGCCCATAATACAGCAAAAAAACCAAAGATCTTTTATTTTAAAACAGTTGTTATTTACTTATTGAGAGTGAACACCCTCTCAATAATTAAAGAAGTAAACAAGCCGCTCACATTCACACTCTGCTACTTAGCATTCATTGTTGCTTTTCTCTCGACTAGTTCTTAAAAAATTATGAGCATCCAAGGATCACTAAGAATACGTGGGAACTTGGAGAGTTGAGAGAGAATAACCAGTGTAACCAGCAAAATGGTTTTGAGGCAACAAAGTAGAGCACAGCAGACTTTCAAACACACACACACACACACACACACACACACACACAAACACAAACACATCAATATTTCTGAGGGCCTGGATTAAAAAACATGATGCTTCCATTAAACAGGAAGTGGGATGGGTTCTGGTAACAAAAATCAAGAAAATAAGAAAAGATTGTTGATATTAAAATAAAATGAAAATATACAGTTAAACAATTACCACATGAATAGTAGAGATCTTCTAGAAAATGGAACAAAAACAATTAGAGAGAAGTGACAGAAAGGTTTGATCCAGGAGTTCTGTGACAGAGACTGATAGTGTTCCCCAGTGTGCACTCCTCCTCCGGCCCACAACTCTCCTCTCTTTCTAATCTTTCACTGCACTTCTGAGTTCTGGCAGGAGTGATTATGTACATGCTTTAGGACTGATCCTTAATATCTCTTGAGAGATTCTCTATGCTCTCTAGAATAAAAGTTGGCTGCAGAGAATCCAACAAAATTATTCTAGGCTCTAGAGCAGTGGTTCTCAACCCTCCTCATGCCGCGACCCTTTAATACAGTTCCTCATGTTGTGGTGACCCCCCAACCATAAAGTTATTTTCGTTGCTCCTTCCTAACTGTCATTTTGCTACTGTTATGATCGGGCAACTCCTGTGAAAGGGTCGTTCGAACCCCAAAGGAGTGGCGACCCACAGGTTGAGAACCGCTGCTCTAGAGGATATCCTACTGCTGAAAAATGGAGCTGAGTCAGTGAGTGACTGCTTAGAGCCAACCTATTTCTCTCCCATCTGTGTCTCCTTCCCCTACTCAGATTGTGATCTAAGTGAAAAAGGAACTGGGCTTTTAAAGAGTTGGTAGCTGTTTGTTACAGCAGTGTAATTACTGACTAAACAGCTCCAGAGAGAGAGACCTGACAAAGAGAAATGGAGAAAAGGAGAAAGTGAAGAAAACTGAAGACTCATAGAAGCAATTAGTTCAATGAACTAATGGACCACATGAATATCAGTGTCTGTGCCCACAGAACTAGGAGAACTATGGAGTGCCCAGCTTTCATGTCCGATTACTTTGAAGGGGCTCACATTAGAAGGTCTTGGATAGAATGGGATAAAAATGTCAAGCAAACTGAAAATTGCCAAAAACAAAAGGACAAGGCTTACTGGTCTAATAGAGGGCCTTTCGTCATTCTTCAAATCTGGAAATGAACTCACCTCCATACATCAATTTTCAGCCAAAGAACAGACAGGTCCCTAAGGGGAATAATCGCAGTAGGCAAATGAGAATAATCAGCCATTTTAAATCAAAAGGAGAGCATCAACTCAAGGACAAAGTTCAGAAGGATTAGTAAAGAAGCAGGAGTGGACACAAGAAACAGAGATGAAGTGGAATATGTGCTATTACATTATAGAGATTGTAATCCTTAATGTGAACGTAACTGTGAATTGTTGAATGTAAAACTAATGATAGGCCCTGCAAAGCTTCACCCAATTCACAATAAAAAATTAAAAAGCAAAATCAAAAAGGGATAGAATATCTGAGAGTAGTCTTTTAAAATTAGCTAAATAATATATGGAAACTATTTTATGCAACACAGACTCAACATTTATAAAATAAATCCAAGAATACTTACAGTAATAGACAATGAGGGCTTCAAAAATTTCGTGGAAAAATTTCAATATCTTTTTTTTATTATTAGTTGGAATTAGAGTAGTCTTTATATTGAGTCCACTAAGAGGTCAGTATGTAAATGAAATATAATGTCCAGAAATATCAGTGTGATATTTTGGAGCTCTAAAAAGGAGCCTCAGTGGTGTAGTAGTTAGGCCTTGGACTGTTAATCACAAAGTCAGCAGTTCAAAAGCACCAGCCACTCTGTGAGAGAAAGAAGAGGCTTTCTAGTCCTGTAAAGAGTAGCAGTATCCAAAGTCCACAAGTGCCGTTCTCTGTCCTACAGGGTCGCTATGAATTGTAAATGATTCAACGACAGTGAGAAGGGTGAAAGGATGATATGAAATGTTTTCAGGAAATAAAACAAAATAACAAAACAAAACAGGTCACCAGAAAAGAATGAGAACCAATCTGACTTTGGACATCTCATCAGCATTAATTGATACTAGAAGCCAATGGAACAATATCTTCAAAGTTCAAAGTTCAGATAATTTCTAATCCAGAATGCTATGGTCTATATATTTCTCATATAAGGTTTATATGAATTGGAATTGACTTGAAAGCATATAACGACAACAAACAGATTAAGTATCAATAAGATGTGATGGCAGAATAAAGATATTATATCTTACATGTAAGAATTCAGAATTATTTACATACATTATTGTTCATGAAAGGTATTTAAAGATTTCATCAGAAGAAATTTTTAATCCAAACGAGAGGAACACAGAACAGGGGTTGCAAGAAAGAAGGCCCCAGGAGAGAGGTGTTGAATCTTAGAGGGTGCTGTCTGGATGTTCAAGTACCAATTCTGTGTACATGGGGGGAAAAAAAGAAACAGAAAACTTTAGTTCCACTAACTTAAGGTTGCTGAGTCCTGGTTGTATAGGGGTTTCACATTAGACT